CTGAACTGCTGGTCTAGTTAGCAGCTCAGCCCCATGCATAACCACTGTGCCACTAGGGCTCCTGTGTCAGGGTGAAGGACATAAAATGTAGGGGCTTAATAATAGAATAGGAAGGCATCTGTTATGTAACTAATAAGCTAGACTTTCAGATGATATGAAAAATCGTTTTCATCCATGTCTTTTTTGAGGGAGCCCCAGTGGTTCTGTGAGTTGTTAGGTCATCGGATCAAACCCATTAACTGCTCCACGGGGGAAAAATGAGGCTTCTGCTCCCATAAAGACTGAACAGTCTTGGAAACCCAAAAGAGCAGTTTTACTTTGTCCTATAGGTTCTACTGTGTCACTATGAATCGTAATCTACTTGATGACAGTGGGGCTACCCAATTTTGACCTCTGCCATGGTAAGATGTGCCCCAACCAGCTTGTCACAGTGTTTGTTTATACTGAATAGGCATTTACATCTCAGAGCAAGGCCTGATGGAGATTTTTTGCCCTCACAGCCCGTAGTAGTGATTGGCAGCTGCTCTTTAAATTACTTTCTATTTTGAGAAGCCATTTGAGTTGCATTTGTTTGGTGCAGATGAATACTATATAGAGAGGCAAGAGGTGAAAAGGAAAAAGAGACGGAATTCTTCAAGCATATAGGGATGTGCATCAAGAATTTCAAACACTCTATGAACAGATGTAGTGGGGTGGAGATACAGCAAATTTGAAGCCTTTCAACCGTGACGTTTTCTTCTAATGAAGAACAGCTTGAAGGCTGTAATTTTGAGAGTGTTGCAGTATTTTGAAGTCAGACACTTAGCACATTTTTAAATAGTGGTGAGATTAAAAAACTTTCCCCCCCCATCTTAAATGGAGTTAAGCATTTTTGGTCATCCTCTTATCTTGATAGCCGTGGAGCCCAGAATACATACCAGAGCTTTCCAAACGTAGGCAGCCCAGGCAGCGTCTCTTTCTACCCATTTTTATTTTCATGGTTGGTGCAGTCTTCTTAAGCATAAGCAGTGTTTAAACAGAAATGACCTTGGATTAATTCTTAATTTTTGTCTTTTACAGTACATTTTTATACCTGAAATTCTTGGTAGTGTGGGCGCTTGTCCTCCTGGCGGATTTTGTCCTGGAGTTCAGATTTGAATACCTGTGGCCATTCTGGCTTTTCATCAGAAGTGTCTATGATTCCTTCAGATACCAGGGACTGGTATGTTTATTACTGCATGCTTTCTAAGAGTGAGGGTTCCATTTCCCTCTGAGAAAAACGTCCGTTGGCTTAGAGTGAATTTGTTTAAAGGGACTCTCCTAGGGTGCCTGAGTGACTGTGTGGGCTCTGTGGGCTGCCCCTGGCCTCCAAGGCTCCTTCTGCTCCACTCACTGACCCAATGCCCATTCCCGCCTCCTCTCTGTTCTGCTAGAAGTTGGGTTGCTGTGGGGAGCAGGACTTTGGCAAGGAGACAGGCGAGAGGAGGAGGCACTACTTAGTTTCGGTGGTCTCCTGGGGAACATTCCCAGAGCCTGTATCTCCGTGGCTGGTGTGGAGTTAGAGCCCTCTCACCCCGTGGCCTCAGGGCCCATTTGTCCTCTCTCAATTGTCCAGAGCTCCAGGGAGCCTTTTGTTGATTGGGATTATGTTACAACTGTCCATGTTTACTGTATTTCAAATTAGTAAATTTCTCACAAGTTAATATCAGTGATATTTTTAAAATGAAAAGTAATTATCTCCTGTCCCTTCTCCTCCCAAATAAAAGAAATTAACACAAGTGATTCCCATTTTGGAATCTCTGTAATATCTGTCTTCATCAGAGACAGGAGGATTCGGAGTTCCCTCTATTAGAGCATGTCATGAAGCTTCTGAAAAACCGTGCTATGCTTCAGAGAAAAAAGGCAGAAAACATCTTTATATTGTTACAAAGCTTGCATTTCGAACCCTCGTCTCCTGTACTGAGAACCACTGGTTAGGTGAGGCCCAGGCCTGGGCTTATTCGGTTAACCTGTTCTCACGCGCCCTTCTGCCCACCCTCCAGTCGAATGCCAGCCTTTAGATGTTTTTTTGTTTGCTCATCTTCTCTTGGCAGGGCCTACAAGGAGGCTACATCATTAAATGATGTATTAACATGATCATAGTTCTTAGAGATTTTGATTGGTCTGTGCCCCAGGAGGTCTACCCTTGAAGAATAAGACTCTTGGGGAACAGTTTAACACGAGGAGAGAGCAACCTTTTTTATGTTCAAATACCACTTTCAGTTAACTCACCAGTGGCATCAGAATGAACTCACCGTTCATTGTTCCGGTCCAATTTGGATTCATGGTTTGAGGTCTATAAATGGTATTGCTCTGCGAAGTTAAATAATCACTAGTTGCATGCCTAGCTTTTAAATATATTTAGGTTGATTTTAAATGTTTAAACGTTCCTGTTATTAAATGGCTCTCTGGTATTGCATAGTGGTTTCAGTAGTTTCAGAGATTATATCTGACATGTTTTGAACAAGTTCTAAGACTTTTTAAATCTTGTTTCTTTCTTCCCTTTAGGCTTTCTCAGTGTTTTTTGTTTGTGTCGCGTTTACGTCAAATATAATATGTCTGCTGTTCATCCCCATACAGTGGCTATTTTTTGCTGCTAGCACATACGTATGGGTTCAGTACGTATGGCACACAGGTAAGTCTTACCGATGTCTTAGATGTATGGAATCAAACTTTGTAATGTAATTTCTTTTATTAAATTATTTAGAATTGAGTTCAAGTGGGCGTTTGAAAGTTGCCTTTTCTTAGTAGATTGTAATCTACTCTTAAAATGTAATTTTTTTAATATATGAATAAAAATTTTATCTCCATGGTATACCGTCTTGATTGTAGGCATTTCGACTATTGAGACTAGGTACTAGATACCCATTAAAAATAAGTAAATGATTTCTATTTGGGCAGGCTTGAATACAACCATGTGCCAAGTAGGAAAAGTGTTCCTGCATTTCAGTATTGTAAGGAACACCAAAGATCATCTAGTTGAACCCTTGGCACAGATTGAATTCTTGGCATGGGAATCCCTGCCATGTGGTGGTTTTATGTCTGATTAAAAACCTTCAGGGACCAGGAACTTACACTGTCCCTGGCACCTTATTCTCTTCTGTGGAGCTGTGAGAGTTCTTTGCCATACTGAATCAAACCTTCCTCCCTACGTTTCTGACCCATTATGCCTCAGTCATTTCTGAATTTACTTCATCTCTCTGAGGATCTAAAGAGAAAATATATGGGAATGCACAGAATTTTTCCTTAGTATTTTAGCGAGCTACAGATCACACCCTAAAGTTCAAATGGTGGATTCCTGCATTAGAACCACACTGCATGAGTATAGTTCCTCTTCCATATTAGCCATATTAACAATTAAAAAAATAATTTTATCGGGTACTCTCACAGTTCTTAACACAATCCAGTCCACTCTTCTGTAGGCAAAATATCTCTGAAGTTTCATCAACTTTTTCTTGTGTGGTGTTTTAGGTCTTTTTACCGTTTCGTGTAGGAACCCTAGTGGTTTAGTGGTTACCTGATGGGCAGCAATCCTCAAGGTCAGCAGTTCTAAACCACTAGCTGCCCCATGGGAGGGAGAGGGCTTTCTACTCCCATAAAGAGTTGCAGTCTTGGAAGCCCACAGGGCAGTTCTACTGTGTCCTGTAGGGTCCCTGAGTTGGCATCGAATCAGTGGCAGTGAGTTGAATTCCTTACTTGTTCTCTTAACCAAATCGTGCATTTGCTCATGTGTGAGTATGCGCTGGTTGGAGCAGACCTCCACAGTTTCCTCTGAGCTATTTTCTGTTCCGCCAAGCTAAGATCAGGGGAGCTGGTTTGACAGCTCCAGGCCACCGGGATAGCATGAGTGTGGTAGGCACTAGGATGTGAGAATTGGCTCACAGAGCATCACATTCGGCTACAAAGCTGCATAAAAGCTGATTGTTAAATCCAACTGCAACCCTGAGGGCACACCCACTAATAAAGGGCTCTCGGGCAGCAGTCAGCATCTTCTCAGAGCTGCTAAGAGGATGGTGTTCACCCACGGAGCACTTTAACGTAGCTGGTCGTGGCGTTCTCTATAGTTAGTATTCTCTCGTATCTGATTTGGTTTGTAGGCTTGTGTGAAGGTGCTGTGGTCTGCTTTATTTAATCAATGCGCATTTGTTAGTTGTACTCCCTGGTCCCGGGCCTCACCTTGGAGTGAAAGCCTTCTCATCACCTCCTGTGTGTCTCCGTTTCCTTTCCACCCTGTGCTAGATAATGTCTAAGAGAGCCATCCAGCCCCAGTCTCGTGTGACTGATGAACTCTGGTGATGCCCTAAATTTAATAATGTCCTAGTAGTTGAGAAGAAACTGCTCATATAAATGTTGTGGAACCTACTGAAAACCAGTTCACTGGGGGGCCACGAGTACTGCAGTGATCCTAATGTCATAAATGTGACTGGCCCTTCTGAAACTCTGGGTTTAGACATGGGTGTTGAAAGAGTTAAATTGCGAAGTCTGTTTTAATTTGGGATGACTGGTGCTTAAAGGAGCCCCATGGGCGTTCTCGGGTAAGTGTTGGACTTCTGACCTCAAAATTGGTGGTTCAAATCCGTCAGCCACTCTTAGGGAGAAAACATCTCTTGCATTTTCTTTTTTTATATCTGCTCTCAAAGATCTACAGCCTTGGGAACCTTCTGTACGGTCTCGATGAGTTGGAATTGACTTGGTGACAGTGGGTTTGAAGGCTTAAAAAATAAACAAACAAACATTCTGTTCTTACTGAACCAGACAAATATGAGTGTAACCTATGTAACTTGAGGCTACTTTTCTTCCAGCGATTAGAATTTAGGGGTTGAAGTGAAATTTTATATGGCTACCAAAAAATGACAAAATTGTGATAAACTTCTTTCCCAGGCTGTTAAGAGGGGAACAGTAGAACCAGTATACAAAAACTGATAAAACTTGGTTTCTTACACTTGATCAGAAGTGCTTTCCATGCGTGTTTTTTTTTTTAGTCATCTTATTGGGGGCTCATACAACTCTTATCACAATCCATACATACATCAATTGTATAAAGCACACTTGTACCTTAATTACCCTCATCATTCTCAAAACATTTGCTCTCCTCGTAAGCCCCCAATGGTAGAATTGCAGGCAATTTTTTCTGCCTTTGTTCCTATAAGGTGCTCACCATAGTTATCACAACAGCTTTAGAACGTAATATAGGCGAAGGGAATGCAGATTTTTTGAAAACACATTTTGAAATTATTTTGAAAATGCCTTTTCCTGTAAGTTGTTTTTCTCTGTACCCAGTGGGGAGAACTTGGGGGGAGTATGTTAAATGCTTAAGACTGGGTGAAGCCATTGGCTGCCTCCCAGAGCTTCCTGTATCATCTTACCCCACTGACTAGGTCTAAGGGGACTGGGGCTCAGCAGACAGGAAGAGTCTCTCCGAACGTGGACACAATTTGCTTAACCTCTGGGTCTCACTTTTCTCTTCAATTAAATGAGGAAATTAGACTAACTGGCCTTTTTTCTAGGTAGAAGATTCTTTGGATTTTCTGTCATTATCCTAAAGCACCTTAGCCATTCAGTCCTTCAGCTGGCTGGTATTTCCTCCCTCTCCTCTCCTTGGTAACGTTCCTGTCCAAGTCGTTTCAAAAGAGCTGTGCAGATAGACAGGACCTCGTGCCTGTAGGGTGTTCACATTCATAGACACCCGCTGTTTGTCATGTTCTAACATAGATATGATTATTATTATTATAAAAATATATAAACACTTCAGAATTTTTCAGGTGTACAATTGAGGGATAACAAACCCGTTAGTCATACCGTACAGATATTGATTTTGAAAGGCCAGGGAAAATCATGCCACGATTTCATTGTATTTATTTTGTTGCAGGTTAAATTTTTTCTCCCCTGAAGTTTGTTCATAGTCACACAAGAAATAGGAGCTTGTTTTTAAGAAAAAAAATATTTTTGAACAATACTTAAATGTCAGAAAATTAATTTTTGTGGCAAGTCATTCTTAAAGCTGATTTTTCTATGACACTCCATGTCTATAGCAATCTTTGTTCTTTTGAACAGCTCCACCATTTTATTATATAGATATATCATAATTAAACAGTTCCTTGTTGATGCACATTTAAGTTAATTCTGAATGCTTACTACTGTAAATAATACTACAGCATTACTTACTTCATATGTTTGTCCCAGGACCCTTTTGTATTTTGATAGCCCAGATTCCTAGTAACAGAATTTCTAGATTAAATGTACAAGTATTTTAAATTGAACTATACTTCCAAATTGCTAGATTTGAGAGTGAACTTTTCTCCACACTTGACTAGAGCAGTCTGTATGTGTTTGCCCTACATGAGAGGTTACATTTGCATTTCCTGTTGAACAGCAGGCATTTTTCACAGACTTCTTTTCCCGTCTGTATTTCTTTCCTGACACGCACGTTTTCCCTTCAGTTGCCATCTTACTTGTTTGTAGGCACTTTTAAATATTAGGGCCATAAACCCTTTGTTTTATATATATTTTGATATTTTCTCCCAGATGTTTGTCTTTTAACTTTGTCGATGATTCCGTAGCACCTTGGCATCTTTCATCATCTACAAAGGTTAGTTTGGATCGAGTTGCTCTGTGTTAATTTGTTTGGGTAAAAGTCTTGGTGAAAGTTACTGTAGTTGACGAGCCTCCCAGCACACCTCTTCTGCTCCCGCGGCTTCGGTGTCATTGACCCTGCCTCTCTGCTGCTTTCCCACAGAAAGGGGAGTGTGCTTGCCCACGGTGTCCCTCTGGATACTCTTTGTTTATATTGAAGCAGCAATTAGATTCAAAGACCTCAAGAATTTTCACGTAGACCTTTGTCGTCCGTTTGCTGCTCACTGGTGAGTGTGTTATGTGTTTTTCTAATCCGAAATTCATGTCAGTCCTTTCCACAAAATTGGTAAATTCAACTACATGGTTTTTTTGTTTCGTTTTTTTCCCTCAGAAAGCAGCATAACAGGGTGGTACAAAGCATGAATCTTTCATTTCGGCATAAGAGCAGCTGAGTGCCAGCCCTGTGCCTGAGCAGCGGGGTGCCTTGGGCACGCCCTCGGCGGCCTCAGTTCTCGTCTGGTGTTGTTCCGGTGTTGTCCCGGTGTTATCGAGGACCTGTTTTATTTGGCCGTGTGAAAGGTGGTAGATGTTGTGTTTAGCTTATTGCCAAGCACTTAAGAAGTGCTTGGTAGATGCCAGCTATTTTTATTACAATCCTATACTGGCTCAAAAAAGTATGAATGAAATAGATGGCTAATGCTTGAAACTAAAATGAACATAGGATTTTCTGTTTTAAAAACAGAGTAATACTAAGAAATATTTTACTCTGTCAAAGATAATGAATATTAAGATATCATTATTCATGTTACCTTATCTATAGAACATTAAAAAAATAAGTGTGGTTCTTATTTGTATCTTTTGTGGAAATCACCTCCTAATATATATTTTTCTTTTAAATGTACCAGTTTTTGTTAGCATTTGTGGCAGGAGGCCAAAATAAACAAGAACAAATGAAGACCATGCTATTTCTAATATTTTAAAAGTCTTTTCACGAACACATAAATTAAATAAAGCTAGTCTATAAAACTTGTCACTTTAAATTTATAGGTGAGACTACATTTAAGTTTAGGCTAATTGATGAATTTTAATGTTAATGAAGCTTAATGGGGATTTTTGACAGCATCTGTGGAGGCTTTGAAAAGATTAGATACCTTGATGAGTTGAATGCAAATTGCTCAGTTTATTCTCGCAGAGATTAGAGTTTTAAGTCTAGCTGGTGTAATTTGGTGGTACATACCAAAGGCTGACACTGGTAGTGATCAGATTATTTTTAAAATGCTTCTTGGATTTATGTATGACAGGGTGCTTGTGAGCTGGCTTCCCAAGACTTGCTGGAAACAGCACCTCTCGGGCAACAAGAAGTTTAAGTGCATGTAGTTGCCTGAATTTGACCCAGCTTTCTGGTATTAAAAACCAAGATGTCATTTTGATTTTTTTTTTAAACTATGTTTATTTGCGGCTACCCATAACATCTCTACACTGTCTGTTATTAAAAACATATACATGTGTAAGTTCTAACACAAGGCAATTCAATTTTTAAAAATAAATGCTTCCTCAAGGAGCATTTGGCCACTATATCTGAATCACTGGGGTGACCCCTTACAATTGGGATGAAGAACACCAAAGTCTGATGGGAGGCCTCTGCTTGGGGTCCTGCAGAGGGCACTGCCCCCTGGGCTGTGGCCACGGGGCTGGATTAGCCTCCTATCTCCACAGCCGGCATTGTATTTATGTATGTGCAACCTGAAGGTTTTCTTTAACTACCATCAACTAGGCTTTATTTTTTAATTGTAGAGGTAAGTGGCCTTAGGTCCTTGTCTGCATACGTTACTGGGTTTTAACTTAAACCACCAGCTGCACTGTTTTCTTTTTAGTATCGGGTACCCGGTGGTGACGTTGGGTTTTGGCTTCAAAAGTTATGTAAGCTACAAAATGAGGCTAAGGAAGCAAAAAGAAGTGCAAAAGGAGAACGAATTTTACATGCAGCTTCTTCAACAAGCCCTCCCTCCAGAGCAGCAGATGCTACAGAAGCAAGAAAAAGAGGCGGAGGAAGGTAGGTCTTTACTCCAGAGCCGTTGGCTCAGTCTGTGCGGAGACTTTTTCGCTTTGGGGAGAGTTCCTGGGACTTGGGATGATTAGCATACATTTTCTTGCTTTCTGGGGTCCCTTCTCTGGGCCATGTTTGGGCACCTCTCATGGAGTGTGGGTGATTTTATCTGAAGACCATGTGCTTTTCACTACATATTTAAAATATTGTATTGGTTTTGAATATTTAAAAGTCTGCATTATCAACAGTAAGATGATTAAAAAAAACTATGTGATTGTGTAACTGAAGGAAGCCAGAAACCAAAGTATAAGCAAGATAGACATGCAGACCAATGTAGAATTGTGGCTTATAAGTCAAAAATTTTCTGATGAGAGCCTCTATCCTAAGTGCTTCGGAGAGTGATATCTGAGCCCTCTCTAATGGGACTTCTTTCATAGGCATTTACTCACTAGAAATACAGGTGAATTGCCAACGATACCTGTTTGCTTTGGGTTGAATGTTGGAAGTTTGGTGCCATATTTTTAGTTGATCCAAAGTCCTATTTTTTGGTCTGAGGTGTGACAAAGATCATCTCAATCGGCTACAGATTGATGCAGAATGTGCTTTACAAGTAGCCTAGTAACCGATTCAAACTGCCGAATTCAGCACCAGTGGCCAGAAGAAGGACACATGTTCTGGACCCTAGCATCTCAATTCGTTTGGGATTTTATTTGGCCTATCTCTTTGCAGTGAACTCCTTACTAGCAGTTTGTTTAAACCAAAGGGTTGCAGCCTCTTTGGAAGATGCCCAGATCCTCTCTCTGCAGCGAATAACAGTCAACTCACTCATTGCCATCACTGCCATCGAGTTCTCCCTGACTCACAGGCACCCTAGGGACGAGTTTCATATGACCGAGAGAGAAAGTGTGCCTTTGTTTTACAGTCTGGTCTTATTTTGAGGGCCTGGACTTAATGGCTGGCATTTATGAGTGATCGCAATTTTCCAAATGTGCCACTTGTCAGACTTACTTGGATTTGCCTTTTGAAGTTAACACGATGTGCTATGGTTATTGCACTTAATGACTTTACAGATTACAGTGAGTTTATAAGCAGAGATATTGCAGTTTGCTTAATCGGCCTCTTTTATGTTCTTTACAAACTAAATACTCTGGTGTTGTTCTTGTTTGTTTGTTTTTCGGTATTGTAGCAGCCAAAGGATTACCTGACATGGATTCCTCGCTCCTTATACACCACAATGGAGGTATCCCAGCCAACAAAAAACCCTCCGCCACTTTGCCAGAGATAGAGTACAGAGAAAAGGGGAAAGAAAAGGACAAGGACGCCAAAAAACACAACCTTGGAATAAATAACAACAATATCCTACAACCTGTAGACTCTAAAATACAAGAGATTGAGTATATGGAGAACCATATCAATAGTAAAAGATTAAATAATGATCTTGTGGGAAGTACAGAAAATCTCTTAAAAGAGGACTCATGCACTGCTTCCTCAAAAAATTACAAGAATGCCAGTGGAGTAGTGAACTCCTCTCCGCGAAGTCACAGCGCCACCAACGGGAGCATCCCCTCCTCCAGCAAGAACGAGAAGAAGCAGAAGTGCACGAGCAAGAGCCCCGGTGCGCACAAGGACTTAATGGAAAACTGTATTCCCAACAACCAGCTGAGCAAGCCAGACGCTCTGGTAAGGTAAGTGTGTGTGCGTGCGTGTCCTTGCCAACACGTGCCAGTGAACTTGACCTAGGTCCTGACATGCAGACACCCCACCTGGGCCTGCCGGAAGTGTTTGTGATCGGTTACTTTGGCTCTTTCCTCTGTGGGATTTGACGTCCTGGTGATTGTTGGCCTTGCCCTGGAGCCTTGACTGCAGCGAGTTCCCCCGGGGTGTTTCCCGTGTTCTGAGTAAGTGTTACCAGTGACTGCTTACCACATGTAACAAATGTCTGTGTCGCTTGATGCCAGGGCTTCAAACTGGTTCAGAACTGTTCTGTTGTGGCAGATGGAGACAAGGACAGTGTGTGCCACCACATGGCCATCAGATCTCGTGTGCTTAGGCTTTTGACCTGACAAAGAAACGGGCTGCGGTGGGTGCCCACTCAAAGCGGAGGGCAGCCCGCACACATTGTTGAAAGCCATGTGGTGGCCGTCATGTTTGAGTGGGCACTAGGTGTTGCCTACTGGAGTCAAAAGCGACAGTGTCACAGGTGTGGTTGCTCTTGACCGTGGCCTGTTTCCTCAAAAACACCTCCACGACCATCAAGTCAGTTCTGACTCATGGCAACCCTCTAAGGCAGAGTGGCCCTGCCCCGCCGGTTTCCACAGCTGTAACAATGGGGGGGAATGGAGTGAGCTTCTGGTGGGCCGCCTTGCACTTTGGGGCCGGAGTCCAACGTATAAGAGATGGGGCTGCAACTCACGGGCCACCCTTGTCTCCACTGGGACCACACTGTTTCCACTGTCTGAAGCCCTGCCTGGTTCTGGTGGCACTGCAAGGTTCTTCTCTGGCCCGGTCCTTGGCTGCTGGCATAGCCAACGTTCTTTAGGCATAAGCACAAAAAGAGGAGTTGGTGCCCTTTGAATGTAAACACTATTATTGAATGTGCCCTATTATTTGCCAAACACATACAGAAGGGATGGGGTTGTCCTTAACACCTTGTGCTTATTTTTGTTTTGTTTTCCCTTAGAGTGTGAACCTATCCCCAGATAACTCGGGGAAAGTTGGGTTTGAAGAGTATCCACTGATAGGTAGAAATACCGGAAACGTTCCTTCTCTCCGCTTTAGTTATGGGAATAGCATAGTATTAGTGTCACTGACCGTGACTACATTTTGCTGTATTTTGTAGGATGTATGTTAGGTCAATATGAATACATTCCTTTTGCCTCAGATCTTTCCCCACAGAAGCTGAAGTGGCGCCTGGCACTTCCCTTTTTCTCTGTAACTCGAGAGGTCATTGTCCCTCCCTCCCTTGCTCCCCCTCCAAAGTACTTCTATTTTCCTCTCCTTTTGGCTTGCTGCAGGGCAGACGGTTTATTCTAGGAGGGAAACAGAGGTGTAAGTGACATAAACGAGATGATTTGTTTAGTTTTCTGGTTGAGAGAAACACATTTGGGTTCTACTGCTCAAGCCCCCAAGGTTTCATGGACCCCGTGCCATTTTGGGAGTGTGCCATGCTGGTACTGGTGCCAACCTGGCACTCAGGTGTGTGAGTGATGGCATCCTGCCCCTCCGCTCCTGCAGAGAAAACACTCAGCAGACCCATGGAGAAAAACCAAATGAGCTGACCTTGGGTTTCACAGGAAGTTCCCTAGAAATCCCCCAAGACCAGCAATAAATGAAAAGGTATCTGCCACCAAGGTTGTGGCATCCTTTGTCCTAAGCAATTTAAATGACAACGTTGAAGCTGTTTCCCTGTTGGTTACTCCAGACAGCGCAGTCTGCCCTTAGGCACTGGGCACCGTCTTGCCCGAACCTCAGCTGCTTGGGCTGGTGAGTGCAAGGTTGACCCTACTAGCCCACCTGTCCAGTAGAGATGTTCCAACACCAGGTGGCCAGTCACCTGGGCTGGTGGCACACATCAGAGTCCCTCTGCCTGCGCCTCGGTGCATTGCAGTGACCTTACCTACAGGCTCGAGGATCTCAGAGGACGTCTCTGTTTTAGGAAACTACCTGCTGCCAGTTAAATACTTAGACAACAGTTTAAAATCCGTTTATAAACATCCACAGGAGTATTTTAAACTCTTAATGGAAAGTTACAAAAAGATAGGAGAGCCAAAGTATCCAACAATGGGGGAGGCACTTCAGTATTTGATGACCTCCTAATACAGATAGACTATTTTTGAGCTGTTGCATAGTACGGGGAAGTGCCCATGACATGTTTAATGAGAGGAGAAAGCAATGTTTAGTACCGTCATTTTTTTTCTTTGAGCCTTCATAAATGTTTAACTTTTTCTGTGGTGAGCAACCACGGACAGTTTTCAAAGGAGAGTGTCTGTCCGAGTGCTTTATCCAGAGTGGCGGTAGGAGGCCTTCGCCCACTTCCTCTCGCCCTTCTTGGCTATCTCCTCTGCTTCCTGTGGTTTGGCGACATGTGAGTTGTGATGAATGTTCATAAAACGAATCCCAACCTCGCACCT